CTTGGTCAAAAGTCATAGAGTCTCAATAAAACTACATGCATTACAAACAACCATTTCAAAATTTAGATATATATATATATATATATATTCTTTTGTTTCACTAACATAATTAATTAATTAACATATAAATGCATATAATAGATTTTTCTCGGTTACCTCAACCTTTGAGAGGTCAAAGGTTACCCTTCCAGTTACAACACTTCCAAGCTTTCCAAAACTTGAATGGTGTCAAAAAGAAATTAATCTACAATTGATCATATCTCAATGTGTCAATAATATTATTGATACAATTTTTACTCATACTCTAATACTTAAGTATTTATTTTATTTTGTTTCACATTTTTAAGACCTTAGTCTTAGCTTTTTGAGTTTTAAAATTTAATTCATGTATTTGAACCTATCTACTTAGTTCAATAGTCTCCTTCACAATAATTTCATTAAAGTTTAGCTAAAAACATCATTCAAATAATTTTCTAATATCAAAATTTCTCTTTCTATTTCAAAAATTCGCACATAAAAATACTCAAAAATTGTAAACTTAATTTCAAGCCTAGAATTATTATTCTATAGCCATAATAATTTATTTTTTATATCAAATAATTATTTAAATATCAAAAAATCAATTTATATTTTTAAAATTAACCAAAATCTACCCATAAGGATCTAAGGATAAACTCAAATGCCTCAAATTCTAATTCTATTAATAAAATAATACTCTAGAATATTTATTATACTACTAACAACCTCAACAACCAGATTTACCCATCAAAAATTCATCCCTCTTTCAAACCCTAGAGTTTTTAAAATATTAAAATCTGCAGCTCAAGGGGAAAAACGATTAAGAAAAATGTTAAGAATACTTATCTAGTCTTAAAATAATTAAAATCTCATCTGAAGTATCCTACTATGGAACCTTACCTTCTAAATTAGTTCCTACCACTGGCGACGCTCTCGCTATGTTCTTTTTTGTTTCTTTTTCACACTTCTGTTGCACGCACGGAGAGATGAGGAAGGATCAAGACAAATGAAAAGGGCTTTTGTGTGTTTTAAAATGGGTGTTCATATATATATATATATATATATATTAATAATAATATATGTGAAGGTCCTCTCTGAATTCAGTAGCAGCCCCCTTTCTTTTTATTAAATGCATACATGCACACCAACGTCTTAATTTGTATATATATATATATATCTAACAAACACACACGTCCCTTCTCCCTTCCTTTAATTTGTGTGTGTATATATAAATATATATCTCTAACACACACACACACACACACACACACACACATGTACAAAGGGATGAAGTCTGTTCCTAGTGTTTTTTTCATTTCACACCCCTTTTCTCTTTTAATGATAATAATAATACTTCTATTTATTTTTTTAAAAAATCATAATTTAGGATTTGGATTTATTTTAATTTAAATCCAACAATAATCTCCTAACAAAATTATTTATCTCTAAATACTCTTTTAAAATTATTCATTTGCCCTTGATTAACTTAATTAATCTTGGGTTAAATTTTTGGGATGTTACATTTTGTGCATGATTTTTCCTCCTTATTGTATTTTGTAAAAATTGAGGTTGAGTGGTGATTTTGAGAAATATGTGTTTTTGGTTGTGTATAGTGTATGGCACTGGTATGCTAGAGTCCATTAAGTATGGTCAGAGAGTTGATGTAGACTTTTGGCACTTTGGTTGAGTTAGGATACCAAAGTTGTGAGATTTTTATGAAAAGTGATAAAATGAGTTTTGGTGTCCAACTTTTTGTAGAAAATAAATTTAAGTATAAAACTTGTATCATTAGCTAGAGCTAAGAGAAAGCTCTATGTAGATACTAAAGCCACCTTAATCGAACGTCAAATGGAGATTTAGAACACGTCAAAAATCCTCCCCCTGTGTTATCATTTTGACAACTGATATCTATCAAATTCGTGCCAAGCACCGGTGCATGACACAGAGATGGGTAAGCCACGACGCATGTCACGTTTTTTGCGATAAAATTTAGTTTTGAGTTTTAAAACTCAACATTTTAGGTCCCATGTGATTTTTCATGCTTCTGCCTTATTTTAAACTCTGATTTGAGTATAATAAGTGTTGATTGAGATTTGATATGTTGATTTTGAGATCCCATTATATATGATTTAAAAATTTTCTCTTTTATGTAATTTTATAACCTTGGTAATCCTTTGTGGGCTAATCCTTTGATTACCTTCTAGATATGACTCCATAAACATCTTCAAGGTCTTAAAGGAGGAGCTAGTATAAGGAAGTCATATCTTCCTAAGCATGATAGCCGAGAGGAAGATTTCATCTCTACTATATTCTTATACAAGGTGGGAAGGTGATGGTTTAAAATGTCAAAGGCCTTTATAGACTGCTGTAAAGACTAACTCTGTAGGTAAAAGAATCTAAAGAAGTCTATTTTTTCATTCAGCATATGCGCGCCCAACGGGTAGGTAACTAGATGGGAGACACTTGGATCTTGGGGAAAGTTTCTTAGTAAAGCTTTAAAAAGTAGGCTATAGGCTATAACCTTAAAATCCAAATAGGCCCATAGAAATTGTTGAAAGGCCTCTTTTGCACGGACTCCCTTATACCATCATAGAGATAACAAAGAAACACAGTGCCTAGAGCTAATTGATTGGCGTAGAGAAGGGATTGGGCCACACTTAGATGAAATTGCATAGGCTTTCCTCCCCCAAAGGCTAGAATCCACTGACTTAGCAAAATCCAGATAAAATCCAAATGCTCTGTAGGAGTCACAAGCTCATTGATGGACTTTTCTGAGAATAACTCCACGATTTGAGTGTAGGAACTGGCACCCTTGATCTTAGACTTGAGCTCAACAGGCAGAGGGACACACAACTTATACTTCTCTGGGATGGCATAAAAATCATCTTTCCTAGTAATTATTAACCCTAAAAACATGAATACATCTGTAAGAGTGACATTCATGGGGCTTAGTTCAAAGAAGAAGACATTATAGTTGGGAGCCTAATAGCTGAACAAGGTCTTCAACATACTAACAGGAATGTTGACATTAACATGTAAAAGTTAGATTAGGTCATAAAGACATATTTCCTTCCATTACCCTTCATAGATTATTTTCAAGTACACAACCCATTTAGTCCAGGCATAAAAAGACTTGGGCTAATTGTGGACTTTCCTACAGGAAGATTCAGTAAAAGGTACCGTCACCAGGGCCAGTATTACATCCCGAACTGAAGTTAAGGACCATGGGTTTGGTTGACTTGGGGCTCTTGCTTCTGAGAGCTCCAAGGCTATGGATAAATACCCACATCGCTTGTATTCACTAGTTGGAAACTCCATGGAGAAACACCAAAGAAAAAGGGAAGAACTTAGTCAACATCAACTCGTAAGGAAACAAGAAATTTGACATAAAGGAAAGATTTTATTGGAAATGGGCACATTGATAGAATGATGAAACTTCCTAAAGAAGGAGGAACGTTAGATCAAAAATATAAACCAAGAAAAAATGAGTACAAGACGGAGTACTCACCGTAGTGATACCCCCTAAGCGACCGACAAGATTCTAGACTATAGCTAAGGATTTGAGCAAAGTAGCAGCAAGAACATTGGGTTGAGCATTATCGAAAGTGACAACAGTAGCAAAAGAAGAGGTAATGGCAAGGGAAGAAGCCATTGTTAAAATGAAGCAGTAAAGAAGAGGGAGCATGAATGCTTAAGAGTTGAGAAATGGCAAGAGGAACAGGAGGGATTAATTGGAGGGAAGAAGGAAAATATATATTCCCAACAGGGCACAGAGAGATGAAATGATTGCTCAACCATGCCACGTGGCTTATGATTACCGGCCACTAGCATGTGAGGGGCATTGTTTGTGTTAAAACTGAAATGACACCAATTCAAAAGGACACAATAGCTATGGCAAGAATTGGGCCATGGAAATGAAGCGTTAGGCCCAACAAATGATCCAATGAGGGTAAGGCTGGTTTGGATCATGGCAAAATGGCCTGACTAGGTGAGCATGGTTTTTGAATGCCTTAAGACTTGAGACCACTAGAGACTATTGCCTCTCACAAAACCATAATCTCAACGGGCCACAAACCTCACAGGATCGCAACTTTCATCGCGAATATTTTTAGAACACAGGCTGGCAGTTACAATCGCTAACGATGGCCTGCACACACTATAAATACGAGAACAGCAGCAAGAAACATCATCAACATGACAATATGAAATTATCATAAACTCCATACCGGCATTTATCCTTAGTGTGCTTTACAATTTGTTTTAGCTTTGTATTTTCCTATTGTAATTTCGTGCTCACTCAAACCCATTAATCAGACTTGATTCATTCTATCTCAACTTGTATCTTTGCATTTAAACTGAGGTAAAGGAGCTTGGGAACCCAATCTTATTTGAGACTCAATGTCTTTGGTACACTTTTTTTTTTTGGTTGGTTGATTGGTTTCCCAAATGTGAACATATTATTTCAATTTTTTGAAGTTTTGTAAGCTCTACGAAACTATAGAAGGAAACTTATAGCTTTGCACGTCCCTCTAAAACCCCATCACAATAATTTATTTTCACACGGGCCTGGATTGCCTCTCTTAAATCACAAAGGCAACTTCTATTTTACGTTAGAAATTTGCTTTTTTCAAGTACGTTTTATTTGCAGCACGGATCTTGTATAAAAATGTTGCTAGCTAAATCTTCATTTTAATTACCTCCATCAGTATAGTACACTTTACCCGAATCTGAACAATAAACTAAACTCCCACAATTTTAGTCGATACAACTTGATGAACAATATCGCAGACTCCTAGTTGTCAGTGATTCAACTCGTTATACGTATCGTGATATTCAGTAATCCAGCAGCTAGTTGTATAAAATAGCATGTATTTTCCTTTTCTTGCAAGGCATATTTATTAATTCCTAGGCACGCGGTGAAAACAAAATCCTTCATAGCTCGAGGAAAGAAAATAAATAAAATGTTGTAATGAATGACACACGCACAAAAAGGTAAACTAATTAAGATATCATACCAAAGGCGCATATACAGATTTAAAGTTTAATTACAACTGTGTGGAATTTATGAAACACGTCGGCATGCAGGTCCTGGCTTGTGCATGGGAGGGATGCATATATAATGAAGCGGTTCCGATCTAATGCACATGTTTTGTAACTCCTGTATTTTCATCACTTTGTCCTCCCTTTCACTGGCTTGTGAGCTAGGCCACAGTTCACAAAGACACGGAAATATATTTGGGCAAACGCGCGCTACGAATTCAAAGATAGACGTTACGCTGGACTCTGATGGGCAAGCCTTTGGGAAAATCAACGAAAGGGTATACAAAAGCTTGATCCTCTTCAGCCAAGTCCCATTGATAGTTGAGAATGAGATGGTGGATGAAAATCGCTATTTCTAGTTTCGCTAACTCTGATCCCGCGCAGTATCTCCCACCTCCCCCGAACGGCATGAAGTTGACATTATTACTAGCGCCTGCGCTGCCCCCACGGCTCCCATTGTTCTGCACAGCCACAATCAACAATATCGAGTTATCAAATCAATAAATGAAGAGAGAGAGAGAGAGAGAGAGAGAGAGAGAGAGAGAGATCGAAACATCAGTTATGGCTATAATCGTACGTGAGGAAGAAGCAGAACTCATGACAAAGGGAGACTCAAAGGCCAATATCAAATAACCTGAAGCTGACGAGGACATATTGATAATGTTAGATTGGTTTTAGATTGCTGATTTATGGTGACAGTGCATGTATACGGTACCTGTCACCGTCAACCAGTTATCCTCTTGGTTATAGTTCGGTCCCTTTCCACTTGGCTAGTCGTGCCATCTATCAACTCTGGAATTGATCTTTTTTATTTTGTTAAAGTAAACGTAGAAGAAATAAATTGCAATAAGTAATAAATAGGGTTTGGACCAGAGAGGAGCAAAAAAGGCACAGGTGCAGGTGCGAAAGAGAAGCCCACTTCCGCATGGGCATTAATAATATAGGAAGAACCTAGCTAATTAGGCCCTGACCACACGCTATCATCTCCACAGCATCAGGTGGGGGACACCATCTCTTTGCTCGCCGATCATGACTGTTCATCTCCGAAATCATATATACGATGAGGACGTTCTCTTAGCGACACTTACCCTGACGTACGGGCTTCAACGGGGATATCGGGATGGGTCCACTCATCAATAATCCTCCATCGCAAGCCACATCCTTGTTTTCGATCTCCATCGTCCCCCACCCGATGTAAAAGCTATAATCGTCCGTAACGTGTTAGGATGATAGCATCTGTGTATATAATATTCATAATACCGTTCGAAATAATTTCATGCAACTTTCTTTTCTTTCTGCTTCCTGGGCCCACCATTCATAATTACTTCATTGCTTCCGCATTTTCTTGATTTAAATAAGGGCTTTCTATAATGATTGGAAAATGAGGAAAACGAGAAGTACTGGCCATAATTAATCATGAATATAGAGCCGGGGTGACAATGTCTTGTTTAATTTCAGGAATGAGGGTTTGGTGTGAAATATGAATACAAATTAACATTAATGTAAGTGATGACTTAAGCAATGACTCTTTCAGCGTAGGTGTGGTCTGAAACGAGAAGCTGAAAATTCTGCTATGAAATAGAATGGGAGATGACAAGGGCTAAGATTACATGTAACAAGCAACAACACTAAACGATACTTTTAGCGTAAACCAAATCCCCAATATTCCAATATATTAATTACAGTCATCATGTTGACCACTCTGCTGATCACCCACAGCCGGTTAGGTAGTGGGATGATGTTGGGACCCACACATGAGGCTCCAGGAAGCAATATTTGAACGAAAAGTTCCTAGATATTTTACGTACATATTATTACGAACATTAATTCACACATGGAGGTTTAACCCCATGGAGATCCTGGCATTGTTTCTTTAAATTAAATTCCTCAATGCTGCATTTGAAGGCTGGGAATGTAGACTTTTTCCAAATCTACAATTTAGATTCATAAAACTTATGAATTTGTTTTATCATATTTTTTATGATTTTAAATATCTCATATACTTTAATTACTTGAAATGTTAGTTTTTTTAGCCCTCTTGTCCTCTCGTTTCTTTATTTCTCATCTCCATTTCATCACTGTCTTTGAATTTAAAACTTCTATACAACCCAAACAAAAAATTGTCAAAATGTATGAATGTTAAATTCACCCATTTAAACGCTGCTTATTAATTTCAAGAAATGAGTTTTAGAGAAGATGGAAGAGATGGAGTTGTGAGGTTGTTGTAATATAGATAAGAAGTCACCTGCCATCTCCATGGATCGAAGAGTTGAGGGTGGTCAAAATGTGAAGGATCCAGATGCACGGCTGCAAGTACCGGAAGGACTTTCCACCCACGTGGAATGTCATAACCTTTCAAGCACAAACAGACATTTTCAATATAAACCGAAAGGTTTTGCATCGACTTAATTATACTGATGACTTTTCTTTGTGCTTCAACTCCAACACTAATCCTTCTCTCTTCTTTTTCCGTGAAAGAAAATTCCATACCTTTGTACCGGATATCCTTGATAGCCTTCCTGTGAAGAAACCTGACAACATTTCCAAGCCGAAGTGTTTCATTGACGACCTTCAGGGGACGAATAGGAGTTTGATTTAAATAAAAAGAAACAAAAGAAAAATAAAAAACTTTTATTTTTTTATTTGTTATTTTTTATTTTTTATTTTTTGCCATATTTTGTGACTTACCCAGTGAGTAAACTCCATCCGCCTGTAGTCGTCCCAAGTCAATTCCACTTCACCTGCTTCCCTTTTGGCTCTGGCAATTTCTCCGTGTTCTTCCTGTTATTTTTCCCGTAAAAATAAAAGAGAAATCAGTGAAAATTCCAGATTCTCGTATACCACACGTGACATCGTTGTACTTGCTCACCCTTAACTGTTGGACAGCTCGAGGACAACCTGGTAAAAAGTGAAGAGCAAGAGATATGGCTACGGATGAAGTTTCATGTCCAGCAAAAAGCAAGCTCAGAATCAGGTCAAGAATTTGTTCTGCTGTAAGATTTGAATTCCTTAAAACCCAGTTTAGAAGGTCATTGTCCAAGCCTTCACTACCCTCTTTCATGTTTTGGTTTCTTTCTTCCATTTTCTTCTCAATGAACTTCAGTATGGTGAACCTAGACTGTAAAATCATGAAATATGTACAATATCAAAAGCTAATATCCGACGGATGCCAAATGGGGCACTCCAAATAATCATGGATCATAACCTGTAACGCCTTCCGGTACGACGTTCCCGGAAAGTTCAAAGGTGCCGAAACTACCCCTTTCATGAAAGTGGCGTACGCTTTCTTCAACGCCTCTGCCTCAGGATTATCAGGCTCCAGGCTCAAGATATTCTTCACCATCAAATTGAAGGTGAACTGTAATTTGCAAAAAAAAAAAAACGAAAAAGAAAAAAAAAAAAAGAAGCCGAAAACTTATTACTGTTTCACCAGAAATAAAAAAAAAAAATCCAGCATGAAATTTTACCTTCTTAGCCTCTTCCTGAGCAGAAAACTTAAAATTCTGCTTCCACGAGTTCAGAACAAGCAGGGCATGCGTCTCCACGTCTTTCAACATGCTTGTTCTGAGCATGGCACTGCTCATAAAGTTGAGCGCTATAGCTCTCATGTCTCTGTGCATGTCACCCACTACGACCAGCATAGACCATTTTCCCAGTATTCCACCAATGCTTTTTGGGTAGCTGCATTCGAACAACTTACCTTCGTTATTGAATATGAACTTGTTGAGCTCTGGATCAGCGGAAACAATCGCTGGCTCCCCAAACAATGTCGACTTGAAGACTTTACCATACCTATACAAAATGACACGCTTTTGAGTCCTTTCTGTGAAACAAATAAAAGATTGGGCTTGCTTTTGATTTTACCTTGCTATATGCTGTTCCATGAACTTTCCTATTGTCGTGGCAGGGTATGGCTTCAAAAACCCAATCGTTTCTCCAACAAGAGGCCATCCCGTTTGGCCTGGGGGAAGATTAAGCTTGGGTTGCTTTCTTCTGTAGAGAAAGACGAGGGGGAGAGCTAGAACAACGAGAGAAAGAATACATAGATTGATGTGTGAATCAAACATGAGCATTTTTTTTCCTTTTTAAATTTGTCTGATTCTGTCGTCGTTCTGATTTATAATATATAAAAGCAGAAAGTGAAACAGAAAGACGTTTATGCAGCTTCTTATAACTTGAGAAGAGGCTTAATTTTATGTTCCCGATATAGAGTTTCCGTTTCCTGTTTGCAACAAAATGCCTAAATCAGGTGGTTCCAATGAAACTCTAAAGTCGATAGATCCTCTCCTCATCCCTTTTCTCCTTTTCTTCTCCTCATCCTCATCTCCACCCTTAAATAGTAAAATAAAATGAATGGTCCAAATCTTTTTATTTTATAAAATACTTTTTATATTATCATATAAAAATAAAAATAAATTTAAACTGTTAAAATTTAACCTACACAATTTACAGTTACATATTGTTATCAATTTTTTTATAAATTAAACTTTTTTTATTTTATTGCAGTTATAAAATTTAATAGTTTAAAATTATTTATTTATTAATATAATATTATAATGATTGTTTTATAAAATAATTGAATTTGAAGCCTTCATTTTGTTTTTTTAATCAAAGGTGGAGATGGGATGTGGAGAAGAAAAGGAGATAAAGGATGAGGAGAGGATCTCCTTCTGTTTTTATAAGCTTCTTCTCCGTCTTTGAGCGAGAAAAGCGGAAAGTGGCAACTGAATCGGCTTTACACATGGGAACACTACTTTAATGCATGATTATAAAAATTACTTTATCCAACCAATAACATTCAATGTTTAGTGTGAATGATTATAAAAATTGTAATTAAGTTGGGTGGCCTAAAAATATTCCGTTAACTATTATAAATACCTTCATAATTTTTCTTATTTGCATCAAATGATTGGATTCTTATGGCAGGTCCATATCTATTTGCAGCATTTTTTTTTATCCATATTTTGATGAGTGCACGTTGCGTCTTGTGAGGCTTAGCTAAAAAATTATTCTTCTATCCAAATTTTTTTAAAAAAACATATCAAATGAGGTCAACATGCAGCCATCAATATCAATATTTTTTTATTACATCAATATCAATATTATGCCAGTATGTTTTATAAATATTGATATTTATATAAAGAATTAAGAAGATATACTGTTGATGAGGTATAATTCATCTTTTTTATATCTCTATCTGATTGGTTAGATTTGAGTATTGCAGAATCTAATTATGAGTAGTTTTCTCAACTGTAAGTTTCATCATATATTGTAGGAGTATTTCCCAACTGTAAGTTTCATCATGTGTTGAATTATATTCCGCCGCTGCCAATGCGTGAGTGGCAATATTCTCAGCTATCGTTCCTTGACACTGCTTGTGCTTTCACAATTGCCTCCTCGCTGTGACTACCCACGCCCCCTCGCATTGATTGCCAACCCATCTGAACTATTGATATGTGATTTCACTTAACACCCAACCAAAAAATAAAAGATGAATTCTATTATTCTATATGTATATACACACACACACACACTCAGGGTTATACTAATTAATTAACACACGCGTATAACGTTTCTCAGGGACACTTCAAAGGAGTTGACTTTGCTATATATCTCTTGATCATCATGTGCCCAAAAATATTAGAGCCTTTTGAATATTCATGCACGGAAGAGTGATAGGAGTGGTGAAGCAAGAAATGGCACCAATTTGCAGTAGATTATATGTATTCACATAGGGAGAACCGTTCTTGTGAAAGCGAAAGCATGGAAAAGAAGAAGAAGAATGCCCCTACCATGCCATCATTTACACGCAATAGTTTGGGTTAACTTCTGATAAAATTAACATAAACTAAGGACTTAGTAACTAGGTGATCATGCACTTGGAAACATCAACAAGAACTAAAAATACTCATATCTTCAACGAACCCACCAAGAAAAATGCCATTTAACAAAGGAATTTAGATTTAGTGAGTGGTTTAAATACACTCATGCAATAAATACCTTATGTGCATGATAACAATTGTTTGATTTAATCAAATGACTATCAAAAATTTTGTCCTATAATATTTAAAAAGTACCAAATTAAATTGCCAAATTTTTGGAAAAGACGATGCATGTAATAAATATTTTGAATTTTTAAAAAAGAAATATATTTATTAATTTTTAAGTATATATTGATAAAAACTAGCATATGTAATCAAATACAATTCATATAATATGTCATTAGCTGGTTTGTTCCCCATGTCAGTGATACGATGTGTAAATATATAAAACTTGGATATCAACATAACGCAGAACATGCATGCTGAATAAAAACAATAATGTTATGATAGGTTATTGAAATTGGGAATGTATGTAACGAATTTTTTTTTACCAGCTATTATGAAGTTGATAATATGTAAAGTTCATAAAATTTATATTTTAAAAAAATAGAGAGAAGATTTTATGTTTCAGAAAATAACAAAATAACAAAAATAAAAATTTTACAAAGATTCATGAATGTTAATTTTAATGGACTTTTTTACCAACTAATTTTGAAGATTGAAGTTTATTAAAATTTTTTAGGATTAAATGGCAAATTTGCCTCCAAATTTTTTCTTGAGGGGCGCCTAACACTTTAAACTTTTTTAGGGCATTTTTGCTTTAAATTTTTTAAAAAGAGAGCATTATTGCCCCATTGTTAGATATAAAAAAATGAATGTCAATTGTTAAACTAAAGTTTGATTAAAGGTTAAATGATATATTTATCTTAAAACTTTTTCTTTGAGGTGTTGGGTATTTTGAAATTTTGTTTGAAGTTTATTTACTTTGGAAGTTTCAAGAGGAGAGCAATTTAGCCCTATTGTTGGTATTAACTGTTACTTCAAATTTAATTGCCACTTGCAGCCATGTGGCATTTTTTAAAAATTAAAAAAAATTTACCTAAATAGCAAGAACATCTCCATTAATATCAATAACAACAACAAAAATAACTCTATGAATAGCAAGCAAGAATAACAAGAAGCAATACCAAATCATCCAAATCGATACCCAAAAATAATCAATTATCCGTTGAGTTAATCCATATAAACTCGACCACATGAAAGCTCTCTTCTTCTATACTCAATAATTCTACTATCTCACTCAACTATGATGACCTTGTGGATTACAACCTTGACTTAGACACTTTTGAGAGCTTCACAACATGAAACTTGACCATGGCAATAGTGGCAAAAGCAGCGACTTGGATGTTAAGCAAGAAGTATGTGGCAAGTCGAGGGAGGATGAGAAGCAAAAGTTAAGAATAACATATTTGCCTTTAGTGGACAGAGTGATGATGTTGTGGGCTTGAGCGATCATTTTTGGGGGGCAAAAGTGCCAAGCCAGATGTGAACGAGACTTCTTGCGATGCTTATAAATCTCAGACACTCATTTTTTCTCAGTTTCACATTTGGATTCCAATCCATGATAGAGCTTGTTAGTAGAAGAGGAGGAGGAGGAAGAAGAAGAGGACGATGAAGAAGAAGGAAGATAAAATTGCTCCATTTTTTAAAAGTTTCAAGACAAATAAACTCTAAATAAAAGTTTAAAATATCTAGCGCCTTTGAAAAAAAAATTTCAAGACAAATATGTCATTTAATTTTTGGTCAAATTTTAATTTAATGATTAACATTTTTTATATTTAATAGTGAGACAAAAATGCTCTATTTCTAAAAAGTTTGGAGCAAAAATGCTCCCAAAAAAATTTTAAATGCCAAATGTCCTTGGAGAAAAAATTTTAAAATAAATTTGCTATTTAACCCAATTTTTTATACACTACACTCAAAATTGGGCGTGCTTGGAATTAATTGCAAGGGTCTAATTCATGAACGATTCTTTAATTAAGTATATAATCTTGATAATCACTGTATAAGAATTGAACAAATTTAAAAATCATACACCTTATAGCCTGTAGATGTGTGAATATAGTTAAATATTTTATACACTCATAAATAATGTACTGAGTAATTAAAATATTATAATTAATTTATATAATCATGCGGCAGGAAAAATAAGTACTTAAATAGTAAACAAAAGTAAGGGAATAAGGGGTTATGAAAAGTCAAGACTGGAGGCATCAAAAGATGGAATTGGATGGGAGGCTGGGTAACGAAGTTCCCAAGGAAGAAGCGACACTCGTGCGGGTAATGACAAGGAAGAAGCGACGACCGAGCTCCCCAGCAGAAGGTCCGCAGCAAAGCCACTCGTGCGGGTAACCAACGCACGCCAATGATTGCTTCCCCAGCGCTCTAATGAGATTGTGCCACACGGCGAGGCTGCACGTGTACATTCGCACCCCGCCATCCACGAACAAACTGGTGCCTTCTGGAAATATGAATTGATATTTAATATTTATTTAAAAAGTAAAATATTTTATATTTTAAAACGCTAAGCCACCTTAAAAGGATAAGTATCTTATAAAATAAAATGAAATGACTATATCCTAACCTTTCTCCGTCCGAGTTTATTTATAAGATAGAGTGAAAAAAAAATTTTGAGTTTTTTTATAAAAAGTATCATTAATTTTTTATTATAAATTTATTTGTTTACTCTCATTAAATATCAGTGGAAAAAATATTTTATTAAGTAATATTTATTTAATAAAAATAAGTTTGAAAAGCTATTAATTTTTAAAGTGGAGTTAATAAATTTTAAATTTTTGTTCTTAATTCTAATAAAACAATGTTTAAAAGTTTCCCTTTGACTTTTTTACTATAGAGCACCTTCTGACAATTTTTTAAAAAAACATAATTTTGGGTCTTTGCAGGAATTTAAAGTTATATTTTTTAAATATATTTTTTTTCAATGTAAAGTATTTAATATATTTTTAAATATTATTTTTATTTAAATTTATTGAATATGAAAGAAAATATAACACAAATTTAATTTTTTTACTTAAATAAAGATAAAATTAGAATTAAAATTTTACTCCATTTTAATAAAATTAACAAGTTAGCTCAGTTATCTCTGACTAGATAATTAGAAGCACTCTGCAGTAAAGATGGGAAGGAACACTACAGAGGGGAGAGTGTAATTGCGTGGCTCGGGGTGTAAGGCAATTAAGGGGCGAGCGTGACTGTGCAAGGACTTTAACAAAAGCGTTGACCATAGTCAAAGGAAAACAAAACAAAAGCATTGCCTCTCTTCATTTACTAATAAATTAATGATCCTCATCTCCCTCCCTCCCTCTCTCTCTCTCTCTCTCTCTCTCTCTTTCTCTCTCCATCCATCTGTGCCAAACGACAAACGCATGCCATCAATGATCACTC